GTCGGGTCGTTCCCTCTGTGTGGATGAAGATGCAACAGCAATAGTGCGATGGTGGCTCTTCTCCGACTCCTACCCCGTTGTTCCACCCTTTTATAGTGAGATAATTAACATCTGTTATTTTAAATTTGCTTTTTCCCTCTCCTTGGGGGAGAACTTGGCTTTGGGAAGCTTTGACATTGGGAAGGCTCCTGACGTACACGCTCACGCTGGAGGAGGTTTGAGTACCTTTGAGCCTTGGCCGTTTTCTGGGTCAACGACATAATTATGTGATTAAAAAGTGCCTCTTTGGGGGTAAATCTATTCCTAGAAGCCACAAAGAGCTTTGGAGGGAACGGAGAGCAAAAGTAACTCTTGTCCTCCAAATTCCTCCTCCTCTCCCTGACCCAAACGTTGCTGGAAGGAGTCAAAAATTAAGCAGAAGGACATTTTTTTTGTCCCCTTAATCCCCCGGTGCCACTTTCTGTCGCTGAACTGGGGGAAACGGCTGTTGGGGGAGGCAATGAAAGAGCGGATTGTGCTGCCTCCCCGTTGCCCTCGTGGGGGTCCCCTTCCCCATCAACGCCCCCGGAGCCCCCGGCCCGAAATCTGGGAAGAGGCTTTTGCAAGTTCCACTTCAATATTTCAGGCGGCTACAATGGATTTTTGCAGCTCAACGTTAAGTAAACAGACCTTGCTTAAGCCTGGACTGCTTCATTTTGACTAAACCCTAACTAAATAAGCCCGTTTCATGAAGCCCAGGCCTCCCAGCTTATTCCTTGCTTCATTAACACCTTTTAATCCCGTTGAGACAATCGTACACCCCCCAAATTACCCTTCCCAGGCCTGGGTCGGCGTCTCCTCTGGGCCACCGTGGGTCAGAGAGGGTCTCAAATAATTTGCTGCTCGGCTCATCCCCATCTGGGGAGCGGGGAGTTGGGCTGTGCTTCTCCTCCAGACCAGTGATGGGACAAGGGGCAACGGGCACAAACGATTTTGGGAGAGTTGGGGGCCGGGGTGTTTCACCGGGGCTGAATTCTGATAAGTGAAGTCCATAAATGTCTGAAAAGATGTAGGAAAGAAAAAAAATCTCAGAGCTCCTCTGCCAGGGGTGGCTTTGCTGCGGTTCCTCTTCCCTCTGCTCCACGCTTCAAACTTTACTGAACTTCTCGGGAGGATCGGCTCATCCCCATCTGGGGAGCGGGGAGTTGGGCTGTGCTTCTCCTCCAGAGCCACGGAGCTGCCCCAGGGATGTTCCTGCAAGGATTTTGGGAGAGTTGGGGGCCGGGGTGTTTCACCGGGGCTGAATTCTGATAAGTGAAGTCCATAAATGTCTGAAAAGATGTAGGAAAGAAAAAAAATCTCAGAGCTCCTCTGCCAGGGGTGGCTTTGCTGCGGTTCCTCTTCCCTCTGCTCCACGCTTCAAACTTTACTGAACTTCTCGGGAGGAAAAGGGGGGGGAATTAATTACGTGCTGGGTCCTCCCCAACTGTTTTGTTATTGAAAGAAAAGCATTAAAAAAGAGAGAGTGAAGGTGGAGGGTGAGGGAATCAAGTAGTGGAATTGTTTTTCCCAGAGTACGTGACTCCTGGCTGCAGGAGAAGAGAAGGTTGAGAGGAGACCTCATTGATTTTTATCAGTTTCTAAAAGGCAGGTGGCAAGAAGACTCTTTCCAGTGGTGCCCAGTGATGGGACAAGGGGCAACGGGCACAAACTGGGACACGGGCATCTCAACACGAGGAAAAAATTTTTTACTTTGAGGGTGATGAAACACTGGAGCCCAGAGAGGGTGTGTGGGGTCTCCTTCCCTGGAGATATTCCACTTTACTTTGAGGGTGATGAAACACTGGAACCCAGAGAAGGTGTGGGGTCTCCTTCCCTGGAGATATTCCAAATATATACAAACGTGATCCTGTCCAACCTGCTCCAGATGACCCTGCTACGGCAGGGGGTGGAGGAGATGATCAGAGAAGGTCCCTTCCAGCCCCAAGCAGTCTATGAACCCGTGATTCTGTGATGCTGTTGGGACCAAGATTCCAGCAAAGCTCCAAGAAGATGTTGGGGGTTGCCGTGATTCTGTGATCCTGTGATGCTGTTGGGACCAAGATTTTAGCAAAGCTCCAAGAAGATGTTGGGGGTTGCTGTAGTGTCCAGGCATTTAAATAGAGAGATAGTGTTGGGACTTCCAAGGCATCACTGCACCTTCTCCTGCCGGCCATGTGGCCCCAGAGCTGGCCCCAAAGGCCTCCTGGCAGGTGTGAATTTGGCCTCCAGCCCAGCACCAAAGCTCTTTAAGATGCCCCTGTGTGTCTTCATCCTTGCTCGAGTGCTGGATGGTTTCCGAATGTTGGCAGGAATAAAAGTCGGTGGCCTCACCTCCCGTAAGGAAATCTCAACCAGAAATCAAACTGGGATGGGATTTTGAGGAAAGAAGAGCATTGAGTAAGGACGAAGGGAGACTTGGTCAAAACAGAAGTTGAGGCACGTGGACTATGAGGTTTAGGTGGCTTCCAAAAGAAGTGGGGTAGAGTTGTTGTGAGTTACGGGCACTTCAATGTGGTCCTGCTGCCACTGAGGCTCTTTTTGAAAGGCTGAAGGACTTGGATCTTTTGAGTCTGGAGAAGACTGAGGGGGGATCTGATCAACCCCTATAAATACTTCAAGGGTGGGTGTCAGGAGGATGGGGCCAGGCTTTTTCCAGTGGTGCCCAGGGACAGGACAAGAGGGAATGGGCACAAACTGGGACATAAGAAGTTCCATCTCAACACGAGGAGGAACTTCTTGACTTTGAGGGTGGCAGAGCCCTGGAAGAGGTTGCCCAGAGATGTGGGGTGGGTCTCCATCTCTGGAAATGTTCAAAACCCACCTGGCCAAGTTCTTGTGCAACCTACTCTAGGAGGACCTGCTTTGGCAGGGCGTTGGAGGAGATGATCTCCAGAGGTCCCTTCCAACCTTCTATCATTCTGGGATTCTCTCCTTTGAGGAGAGATCTCGCTCGTTTCTATCATTCTCTCCTTTGAGGAGAGATCTCGCTCGTGTCCCGCCTGTTCCCAAATGCACTTTTTATGAGGAACTTGGGAATGTGCCTATTTTTGGGACCGTCCCTCAGCATAGTTTCTGCAGTGGCCGCTTCTAGACACGGTGTAGCCGCGTCCCCCAGCGCAGCCTCCTGAGCCTCCTCGTAGCCCACCGCCAGCAACGGAGATGTATTTTGTTCCTATGGCAACCTAAACAATATTACCTTGACTTAAACGGATTCAGGCAATATTAAAACCAGCCTCTTTAGGAATTCCTGGTGTTGGAGGGGGCTGAGAATTTTAATTTTGTGTAATGCGAGCTGACACCGTGTTTATGAGCTGCTTGCTGAATGTTTTCTTCAATTAGTACAAAGCAGAGCGGATTTGTTTTCGGGGCTTAGCTGGGAGAGAGGGGAGGGTGCGAGCCTCGCGCTGCCAAAAGCCTTATTGAGTTACACGGCAGAAACTGGCGCTTCCCTCACCTGAGAGCTGCAAAAAAAACCCAACCAAAACACCCCTTTTTCATGGAAATCTGGCACACGACAGCATCTTTTGAGTAAAGTCTTGCTAAATGCCTCGTCCCGACGGTGAATAGGTCTCGTTTCCCACCTCTGACATCTTTTTCCACCTCTCCTGGTTCCCCTCCATCCCGATCAGCCTGGCATGAAGCACCTCCTGCTCAAAGCTTTCCTCTGCCTGCTTCAGCTGAGCAATATTTGGGCTGTTTTCCTCAAGCAACCAGCGATATCACTGAGGCTGGAAATATCAAAGGACCCAGGGAAGGCCCCAGTATCCACATGGGTAAAAAAAAATTAAGCAAACCCAAGTGTGGAAGAAGAGAGGGAGTTTTCCATCAGTGTTTTCCTGTTCCTTACTTGGAGTCAGGGCAGGTCCAACACTTCAATATCGAAGTAAAGCTTCTGTTTGTCAGGTCTGTGTTGTCACTGTGTCCATCCCTGGGTTTGGGGGCTGTGGGGCAGAACCAGCTTGGCCTGAGGTGGGGAGATGTCACAGGAGCAAAACCATCTCCGAAAGGTACAGTAAGAGCAGATGGAAGTTTGGGACCAGCTCATCTCCAAGTCAAATGACATTTTGTGTCACTCCAACACAGAGCCAAGCCAGGCAGATCTTTGGGGACAGTATTTCTCCCGGCCAAGCTGGCGAGGAAAGGCAGAGCTCGCTCTGAAATCAGTGGTTGGAAGGATGAGGAGGGACAGAAACCTGGGAAGAAGAAGGGTTCCATCACCCCCAATGGGCAGAACTAATTCTAAGTGGTTCTCAAGAAGATAAGATGTGACCAAGTCTAGTCGCTGGGCATGGAATAAAGGAAGATTCCCATTGGGAATAAGGAACGAGGAGGTAGTTAGTCTCTGGAACCTCTTCCAAATGGATGGGGACAGACCACACTGGGAGCCCCAGACCATGAACTGGCTTGAGGTGGGAATCCCTGGGTGAGATTCTCCGGGTTGCAATGACCACGGGGTCAGACTCCAGCACCTTTATCTTTCCTCTGGGCTTAAATTCCAGGAACTTTAATACCTTCATGTTTAGTAACACCTCAAATGTTCCCGACCGATCCCAGATAACCCAGACACTGTGGTTGAGTCTTTTTTTTTAAATTCTTTTTAGTATTTCACTTCTGCTGTAACAGAAGGATGTTGGTCTTAGACGTTTGGCCTCAGCCCAGATTTGGGCTGGGATTGTGCCCGGAACACGTTCCCAGTTTGCTGCTTCGTTCCGGCACTGGGAGGTTGTGGTTAAAAGTCTGCTCTTTCAACTCAAAATCGATGATTATTATTATTATTTTTTTCAAGTGCGACTTACAGAAAGACAAAGAGGAAAAGGCGGGGAGAGGGAGAGAGACAGGGGGAGGGAGAGAGAGGAACAGGCACACAAACACACTCGCACAAAGGAGGGAGAAATCCCACCCCATTCCAGTTGGAATGTCCCAGACACTTCAACCCAAAGCCACCGCGCAGCGCAAATCCATGGTGGTATTTGGAAGGGATGAGCCCACCCCTGTAAAGCCTCTTCATCCTGCTCCACAGAGTTTGCCAGGAGGATTAACCCAGTCTTGTTCTCAATCCCAGTTTATGAGTTCCCTGCTGGTGGGGAAGATCCTGTGTGTTTAAACAACAGCCTAATTAATCCCTATTTTATTACTTTCTCTTGTCAAGTGGCTAAATAGAAGCTGTCAGCCGGCAGCCACCGCCGCTCACATTTGTTTAGATCCCAAATTACTTCATCAGAACCATCTGCTCGGGACGCGGGGCGCTCAGCAGTTGTTTATTTCTCTCCTCTGGACACAAGTGTGGGGCACAAACAGCCTCCCCCCAAGTGGGACTCCCCGTGTGAGGCTCCTCCAAGCCCTTGGGGACGGTCCTGGAGGGGTCCATAAAGTCCTCTCACAAGGAGGAACCTAACAAAGCCCGGTAGCGAACAGCCCTAGGGAGGAAGAGGGGACATAGACCTCTGTCCTGTTGGGCCAAGCAAGGTCTTGGTCCTCCCTGGTGCTACAGAGGGTCAAGAAAGCCCCTAAAAGCACTATTGGGATGTAAGTTCCTTGCTGGGATGTGCTACCACAGCTCCAAACATCCACCCACTTCTTCCCTTGGCTTCCTGAACCCCAACCCAGGGCGGATCTGCCCTGCCCAAGGGTCTAAGCACTGGGATCTTCAGAAGAGTGGTTGCATGGAGAAGAGTATGACCAGCAGGTTGAGGGAGGTCATTCTTCCCCTCTGCTCTGCTCTGCTCTGCCCTGGGGAGGCCCCATCTGGAGCACTGGGACCAGTTCTGGGCTCCCCAGTTCCAGAAGGACAGGGAACTGCTGGAGAGGGTCCAGCAAAGGGCTACGAAGATGAGGAGGGGAGGAGACCATCTCTGATGAGGAAAGGCTGAGGGACTTGGGGCTTTGGAGTCTGGAGAAGAGAAGACTGAGGGGGGATCTGAAGGGTGGGTGTCAGGAGGATGGGGCCAGGCTTTTTCCAGTGGTGCCCAGTGACAGGACAAGAGGGAACGGGCACAAACTGGGACATAAGAAGTTCCATCTCAACATGAGGAGGAACTTGTTGACTTTGAGGGTGGCAGAGCCCTGGAAGAGGCTGCCAGAGAGGTGGGGGAGTCTCCATCTCTGGAGACATTCCAACCCCTCCTGGATGGGACCCTGTGGGACCTGCTTTGGGTGCCCCTGCTCTGGCTGGGGGGGTTGGAGGAGATGATCTCCAGAGGTCCCTTCCAACCCCTATCATTCTGTAACCTTCTTTACAGGCTGTTTCAGACCAAGTGCAGCAGCTGCTTGAAGGCCATCGCCCCCTCCGAGCTCATCATGAGGGTGCTGGAGAACGTCTACCACGTTCACTGCTTCTACTGCTGCGAGTGCGAGCGGCGCCTGCAGCGGGGAGACGAGTTCGTGCTCAAGGAGGGGCAGCTGCTCTGTCGCAGCGACTACGAGAAGGAGAAGGAGATGTTGAGTGCCATCAGCCCGGCACCCACCGAGTCCGGTGAGGAGCTGGGACTGGAACTGGTGCTGAGGGTGGGGAGATGATGGGAGGGCTGGAGCCCCTCTGCTGGGAAGCGGAGGATGAGAGAGTTGGGGGGGTTCAGGCTGGAGAAGAGAAGGCTGTGGGGAGACCTTGGAGCCCCTTCCAGTCCCTCAAGGGGCTCCAGGAAAGTTGGGGAGGGAGCAGGGATGAGGGAGGGGAGCCATGGGATGAGGAGGAACGGTTTTGAGGTAAAAGAAGGAAGACTGAGGGAGAAATTGTTGACTCTGAGGGTGGTGAGAGCCTGGCCCAGGTTTTCCAGAGAAGCTGTGGCTGCCCCATCTCCAGGGAGACTTTGGAGCCCCTTCCAGTCCCTCAAGGGGCTCCAGGAGAGATGGGGAGGGAGCAGGGACCAGGGAGGGGAGCCATGGGATGAGGAGGAACGGTTTTGAGGTAAAAGAAGGAAGATTGAGGGAGAAATTGTTGACTCTGAGGGTGGTGAGAGCCTGGCCCAGGTTGCCCAGAGAAGCTGTGGCTGCCCCATCTCCAGGGAGACCTTGGAGCCCCTTCCAGTCCCTCAAGGGGCTCCAGGAAAGTTGGGGAGGCAGCATGGATGAGGGAGGGGAGCCATGGGACCAGGGGGAAGGGGTTTAAGCTGAAAAAAGGGAGATTTAGGGAGAAATTGTTGACTCTGAGGGTGGTGAGAGCCTGGCCCAGGTTGCCCTGAGAAGCTGTGGCTTCCCCATCCCTGGAGGGGTTCAAGGCCAAGGTTGGATGGGGTTTGGAGCAACCTGCTCTGGTGGGAGGTGTCCCTGCCCAGAGTAGAGGGTGGCACTGAGGGGTCTTTAAGGTCCCTTCCCACCCTAAACCATTCCATAATTCTACGAATCCTTGTCCTGGGAGATGGCCCAGAAAGGCCACCCTCTGCTGAATCCCCACGACTCAACCTTCCTTTGCAGTGAAAAGCGAGGATGAGGACGGCAGCCACTCGCACGGCAAAGGCAGCGAGGAGAGCAAAGACCACAAGCGCTCCAAGCGCCCCCGCACCATCCTCACCACCCAGCAGCGCCGGGCCTTCAAGGCCTCCTTCGAGGTTTCCTCCAAACCTTGCAGAAAGGTAAAAGGAGGCCACTCAACTGGTGCTTCGGGTCCTTTTTAAGAGCAAATTCAATTCTGATCCAGCTCTTTGGGTTTTTTGGGCAGGTAAGAGAGACCCTGGCAGCCGAGACGGGCTTGACGGTGCGGGTGGTCCAGGTCTGGTTCCAGAACCAAAGAGCCAAGGTGAGTGATGGTCCCTGTGTGCCACAGCTGGGTGCCACGTACCTGTGGGGTGTCCCACACACTCATTCAATTAAAAGAAAATATAGAATAGCTTAGAAATGGAGAAAAGGCTTAAAATGCTTAGAAGAACAGCTAAGCAGGACCATCCACAGGTCCACCTAATCCTACAACACGCATCTAGTAGCAGCAAAAGCTTAGAGCAATACAAAAAGTGATTAATTATTGAATTTTGCTTAACATTTTTCACATTCCTAAATTATTTTATTGTTATTACTCTTTTTCTACTTGCTTTCCCCCTCCTCACTATAGAAAGACTAGAAGAACTTCTTTCTTCTAGAAGGTGAAACCTTCCTTTCTTTCTTCTAGAAGGTGGAACCTTTCTTTCTTTCTTCTAGAAGGTGAGACCTTTCTTTCTTTCTTCTAGAAGGTGGAACCTTCTAGGTGGTGAGCCAATTCTTTCTTCTAGAAGGTGAAACCTTTCTTTCTTTCTTCTAGAAGGTGAGACCTTTCTTTCTTTCTTCTAGAAAGGGACCTTCTAGAAGGTGAGCCACTTCTTTCTTCTAGAAGGTGAAACCTTTCTTTCTTTCTTCTAGAAGGTGAGACCTTTCTTTCTTTCTTCTAGAAGGTGGAACCTTCTAGAAGGTGAGCCACCTCTTTCTTCTAGAAGGTGAAACCTTTCTAATTTTGCAGAATTTAGAGGAGGGTTACACCATGGAGGTGCTTGGTCTCTCCGCAAGGCAGGTGGCCAGGGTCTGCGGCTGCGTTAAACACAACCCACTCCCCTCCTCATCCAGTGAGAACCTCAAACCCCGGGTCTCCATCTCCTTGCAGATGAAGAAGATCGCTCGCCGGCAACAACAGCAGCAGCAGCAACAGCAGGAGCAAGACCAACTGGGCAACCCTCGCTTGGGGAGCGGGAGAGGGACCGGTCGCAACAGCAGGCAGAGCAATGATGACAGCGAAGGTGAGGAGCCACCATGCATGGTGACAGCGCTGGGGGTGCAGGATGGGATGGAGGGGGTTGGTGACAGAGAAGCTGTGGCTGCCCCATCCCTGGAGGGGTTCAAGGCCAAGGTTGGAGGAGGCTTGGAGCAACCTGGTCTGGTGGGAGGTGTCTGGGCGTGGAACTAGATGGTCTTTAAGGTCCCTTCCAACCCAAACCATTCTATGATTCTATGAGCAGGGATGTCTCCACCCATCCCAGGTCGCTCAAAACCTTGTCCATCCTGACCTTGAATGTTCCCAGTGATGGGGCATCAAAGAGGGGAGATTGAGATGAGATTTTGGGGAAGAACTTGTTTGGTGTGAGGGTGGTGAGAGCCTGGCCCAGGTTTTCCAGAGAAGCTGTGGCTGCCCCATCCCTGGAGGGGTTCAAGGCCAGGTTGGAGGAGGCTTGGAGCAACCTGCTCTGGTGGGAGGTGTCCAGGGATGGAGCTCAATGGTCTTTAAGGTCAGGTTGCCCAGAGGAGCTGTGGGGTTGCCCAGAGAACCTTGAAGAGGTTCAAGGCCAAGGTTGGAGGAGGCTTGGAGCAACCTGCTCTGGTGGGAGGTGTCTGGGCGTGGAACTAGATGGTCTTTAAGATCCCTTCCAACCAGATCCATTCTATGATTTACCCCATCCCACTGGTTGTGTTTTTAGACGGCGCAAGCGTCCACGGCCTGGATGGGCTCATGGTCCCCTACCCCAGGATCCCCCAGCAGCAGCTGCTGCCCCTGGAGCAGAACGGCTACAGCACTGACCTCTACAGACAAGGACTGACGCCCCCTCAGCTGCCTGGAGACCACCTGCACCCCTACGGTAGGAGAGCAGTGGAAGATTGTCCATCAACGCCGCATGTAGATGTCTAAGTGACGAAAAGCCAGCTCTGCTGTGACAACAGCCAGCAGAAGCAAGAGCTCCCCAGGGCTTGGACCTCATGCTGAGCCTTTCTCAGATGTTTGGTGAGGCCAGAGCCTCAGCCCCAGGGGCCAGGATGGAGGTTGGGGTCTCACCTCCATCCAAGATGAAACGTTTAGGTGAGGGAGGAGAGAGTTTTGCCTGAAGTTGGTCCTGGGTGCGGGGCTCACCTCAGACCTGCTCAGGGTGACCACGGCTCAGGGTGAAACATGGTCCTGCTGTTCCTCTTTGTCTGTGCCCCTTGGGGCAGCCTCATGCCACCTTTTGCTCCTTTCCATTTCTCATTTCCTTTCCATTTCTCATTCCCATTTCCATTTCTCATTTCCTTTTCCTCTCTCATTTCCATTTCCTTTCTTGCTTCCTTTCCATTTCTCATTTCCATTTCCTTTCTCATTTCCATTTCCATTTCTCCTTTCCTTTTCTCATTTCCTTTCCATTTCTCATTTCCATTTCCTTTCTCATTTCCTTTCCATTTCTCATTTCCATTTCCTTTCTCATTTCCATTTCTCCTTTCCATTTCTCATTTCCATTTCCATTTCTCATTTCCATTTCCTTTCTCTATTCCGTTTCTCCTTTCCATTTCTCATTTCCATTTCCTTTCTCTATTCCATTTCCTTTCTCATTTCCATTTCCATTTCTCCTTCCCATTTCTCATTTCCATTTCCTTTCTCATTTCCATTTCCATATCTCCTTTTCATTTCTAATTTCCTTTCCATTTCTCATTCCCATTTCCATTTCTCATTTCCTTTTCCTTTCTCATTTCCATTTCTCATTTCCTTTCCATTTCTCATTTCCTTTCCTTTTCTCATTCCCATTTCTCATTTCCTTTTCCTATCTCATTTCCATTTCTCATTTCCTTTCCATTTCTCATTCCCATTTCCATTTCTCATTTCCTTTTCCTATCTCATTTCCATTTCTCATTTCCTTTCAATTTCTTATTCCCATTTCCATTTCCTTTCCATTTCTCCTTTCCATTTCCTTTCCTGTCTCCACACTCATTTTCTTTTCCTTCCTCTTCCAGACTCAGAAGGAGTTTTTCACGATATGGACAGTGACAGCATCAGCCACCTGGGCGACTGCCTGCTCTCGACGGCCGAAGCCAACCTCCTCCAAGCCCGCGTGGGCAACCCCATCGACCGACTCTACTCCATGCAGAGCTCCTACTTCACCTCCTGACCATAAAAAAGCTCCCCGACTCTTCAGGAGTATCTCGGCTGGATGCTGCTATGAATTCAGAGCGAGGACGAGGGAGAAGAAACGAGACCGAGACCTTCAAAGACATTCCTTGAGCACTGCACAACGGAGGAGGCAACGAGGTCCACCACACGCAGAAGCACTAATTCATGGAGACCTTTCGCAGCCCGAAGGACTTGGGGTCTCTCCTGTTTTGGTTTTTTTTCCTGTTGGGGCCTCTCTCCTGTTTTTTGTTTTTTCTTTAGCCACGAGTAGATCGATGGTATGATGTCGTTTAGCTGTAACTTTAGCAGTTTGTCCAGTGTTGAAGCTTTTGAGCATTATGTCCTGCAAACATAAGACTGACCAAGCCACCCCGAGAAGCAGGAGGTGCCCTTCCCACCAGAACTCCCTTTATTTAAACCTTGGGTGCAGCCGAGCTGCTCGCTGGGCTCTTTTTGCTTCATTCCCTGACCCAAATTCAAGCTTCCTGGGACAAGGAGAATTTCCCACAGCAAAACGCCAGGTCCTGAGGCACCTCTAAAGGATGTCACTGCTGCTTCAGAGATTTTCCACGTGGTTCTCCATCAGTTGGGCCAGGACAGGTATTTTTAAGGGTTAACGTTTCAGAGATGGACAGTAGTTTGGCCACAGACTGAGAAGGCTACACTTGGGTATCAGCTTGGAGAAACAACTGAATATTTATCCTCTGTCACCTTCAAGGACGCCAAGAGAACCCACCCACAACGAGTCCTCCATCACCTTGATGTCTGTCTCCCTCTCACGGGGTGGTTTTACTCCCTTTTGGGATGGAATGAACACTCACTCTCCCAAAATCCCAGCTGCCAGCCACACTAATTCCTGGTTTTTGTTGGGTTTTTTTTGATAAAGCAGCAAAATGAAGGCTTTTACTCTAAAAATATCCCTGCTAGGAAGCCCTCCCTCTGTAGGCTTGGCCAAGGAGGGGTTTCCCACCCTGGCTGCATTCCCAGTTCACCCGAGGGATCCCACCAGCCCCTCGCATCCCTCCAGTGAGTGAGGAGGGAAAGAAACTGGGCTGTGTTATCCCACAACGTGTCCTCATCAAGTTGCTTCACCCCAAGAGGTCACCTTTGCTTTCGGCTTCCAGGGCAAGCCAGGGGTGACATCAGGACTCGGCCAAGAGAAAAGTGTGTCTCCACCGTGGATCAAAAGGAATAATCTAATTATTTTTACCCCATTATGATGCCAGGAGGCAAGTGAGATCCGAGGTGGGCACCCAGATGTGTGCCCACAAAAGGGGAAAGAGAGAGAGAAGGGAATAGAAATCGGAATAACCACCAAAAGGAAGTTCTTTATTCTCCTGCCTAGGACCTGAGTCTGGGATTTGGGTCTTTATATCGGTGAAGAACGGGTGGTGTTCCCAGAAAGGTTGGATTTTCCCAGAAAAGGAGGCTTTTCTTTGTGGAGTTTGACTTCTAAGCCTTCCCAGGCTTCCCAGTCTGATTTTAAAGGTGTGTAAACTCCCCTCCTCGATGAAAAAAACCAAACCAAAACAAAAAGAAATGGCTAATTTTTGGTGTGGACTTGAGTTATGGAAGAAGTTATGGAGGAAGATTCCCAGGAACTAGATAATCCTGGATTTGGGGATGAAAGGAGATGCCGTCCTGATGAGTTTTGGATTTTTTTTTCACCTTCTCGACTACTTAGAGTAGAAGTGACACAAAGAAAGGCCAGAACCACAGGTCACTCCGCTGTTGTCCCCCTCTAATAAAGCCGTGCGAACGTGACACGAGCTGCCGTGCAGTC